TAAAACATTATTTAAATTTTATTTTCATTTACTTTTTGCTGACTTTTGTTGTTGGGAATTATGAATAATTTTGTCTATTTTACATTATTATTTAACATAATTTTTTAATTGTTTTATGTTTCAATTATTTAATTGGAATTGTTTCAAAATATATATGCTATTTTGAAATTCACATTTTAGGCCCAGCAACTACTTTTTGATTAACACAAGAAAATTGGTAACGATAAAACGCAATTTCTGCCATCATACGAGGGGCGTCAATATGCAATACGAACTAAACTGTGGAGTTCAGTTGAGTGGGTTGTTGGGTGGTTGTGGGGAGTATGAGAAATACACATATATGATATTACACTTAATATCAGCAATATTAATTTTCTTTTTAATTATTTTACATTTAAAAACACTTGTGTATTTTTGTAAATTTTATTTTTAAAAGAATTTTTATTTTCATTTCTTTTTTTGCTTTTCACTTCTTCCTTCACCAGTTCCAGCTGCTGTTGATTTTGCTGGTTAATACTGGAGGCTCGAACACATATGCATTTGCAGTATTTCACTTTGTTATTGCAATTAGCTTTTTGTTTTTATATTTATTAAAGCTTTGGAAATTTTACTCTGCTTTAAAAGGTAATGCATAAAAAACAGAAATTGATTAAACATAACACGTTAAGCAGAAAATACGGTTATTTTCGTTACTGTAATTGTTCTCATATCGCAAAATGTAAATATTACTAACAGTTAACGAATTATTTAATTTTCCCGGCAAAATTACTTTGTAACTGTTAATAGCTATTGATGATAATTACCTTTAACAAACGTTTCAACACTACATATATTTAATATTATTTTATTATATATAAAAAAAAGCCGCAACACAAAACATTGTTCCGCTATCGCTGTGACGACAACAATAATTTCGATATTGCTCTGCTGCTTGTTGTTTGTTATTAAATTGTTTTGCTCCTAGTCGTTGTATATAACAGAGTATATAACACAGTTGTTGTTGTATATGTGTGTACACAAAACTTACACATTTTAAAACTTGAGCTTTTTTTGTGTAGTGGCCGTTACACAGAAGTTTAATGCTGTGCTTAGATTATTGTACTTAATTCGACAAATATGTAACAACGCAGTATATGCTATATTCATATACAATCCATGCAAAATCATATACAAAAAATGCAAATAAGTTTTGTTTGTAATTTTAGCTTTCAAGTTGTAATTTTAGCTGTCAATTGTTGTTGCTCTCAATATAAAATAAAAATTTTTGACAGCTAAAATCACAAATAAAAGTCTGGTGTGAATCCAGTATAAGTGTAAACATAGTATAAGTTACTGAATAAGCCTTAAATGGTCTTAATCTATGTATATACATAAATGCACTTTTTAACGAAAGCTGTACACTGGGTTCACACTAGAGTTTTGTTTGTAACTTTAGCTGTCAATGCATAATAAAAATTTTTGACAGCTAATTTATATTTCAGTATAAGTTATACTGGATTCACACGAGGGGTTTATATATAATTTCAGCTGTCAAAAATGTTCATTTTGCATTGAAAGCAACAACAATTGTCAGCTAAAATTACAAACATGACAACTAAAATTACAAACAAAACTTTAGTGTGAATCCAGTATTACGTTTTAATATTTGGCCAAGGTGAGCTGTTTTGTTGAATTATGTACTGAGAAATTAACAAATAGATGTAAATTGTATGTATACAGATATAGAAGCAAAATAATCACTAAATTAGACCTATTTACATTATTATATATATATATTGACTTAACAGCTTTATTTTTTGTTTGTGTGTCTGATTGGAGTTTCCTTAGTATACGTTTGAATAATTATTTTCAATATTTTAGTATACATGCAAAAAAAATTAAAAAAATTGATATTTTATTTTAAAATTTTAACGTGAACGACCAATACTAGCCGTCAATAATTTTTTGTTTCTTTAAGCTAATCGAATATTGTTTTGAGCAAATCAAAATTATAATTTTTTATTGTTGGAAGCTCTACAATTTTGCATGTATTGCCAATAATCATTGAGCACGAAATCGTGTTTGAGAGAGAGCTTAATCAAAATGGTTTATCTTATTGTTGCATATGATTTTTGAAGCGCAACTATATTTCTTGGAATTGTTATAGTAATTAACGTTATTGTTTAGTTGTATTCACGATTTTAAACTTCCCATTTGATATGTATAACAAAAAAGGTAAATCAAACAGAAGGCATTTAACCGTAAATCTATTTGAAAAAATTATATGTACCTGTGTGTCATATAGAATCACACCATTTGCACTTGTGTGCTTAATAGCAACAGCAAAATACACTCGCCATACAACCATATATAAAACAGCTACGACGCAAAAAACAATTGCCGCTTCTCTCGTTTGCTTTATTGCTAATTTTTTGCCCGCAAACTTGTATTTATATCAATTTGTTTTTAACTTAACTTCGCTTTCCATTTGTTTGTAAATAAATCTTTTTGCTCTATAGCCCGTCTTTTAGTGTTTAAGTTCCTTACTTCGCATTAACAATAAACAAGCGTTGCGCGAAGTTTCTCCGGGATTGCAGAACGATAAGCAGGCGAAGCAATAGGGGTTCAGCTTATGTACATACAAATGAAATGAATTCAAATGCAGTAATACGAGAAAGCTTTTTTGTCTCCAAGCTTTGCGTTGTCTATCAAATAGTAAACAAACTTTTAAATATTCTAGTAACAAGTGGTATTTTCTGGAATATTTGTTGCTGTGGAATGGGCGAACTTAACCGGTCTATGAGGATGTTTACAATTTTAAATAAAAGTCCTTATGGGAAACCGTATAATATCAATTATTAACTTAGCTTGAAACTTGTATTACCATTTAGTATACTTAACGCTGTTGGGGAATTAGTTTAAACTTTTTTTTCATAAATTGTTATTAAATAGGATTTGTCTATGGATTAAAAATTGCATAGCAATAATCTCTGGAATTGATTATATACAATTAAATAATATGGTTTTTGCTATCAGACTGAGCATATTTATAGAGTCATGTGAACGTATATATGTATATATTATTTTTATGAAGAACTTTGACATGTAATGTAAATCAGAATGAATGTAGATTTGGTTTCTTAAGAAGTATGTGGTTCGAAAACGGCGAATAATTATTATTTATGTGAAGCTGTAGGACATATGTTCATCAATTACTCAACCAGTTAATGTAAATAAATGTAAATATTAATTTACATTTCATAATTAGCAATAATGATTCCACAAATAAAATTAGATGTTCACATTGCAGTAACGCACATTGTTGTGAAAAATTAAATGTGTTAAATTAAGTTTTCAAAAATGATTGAAAATTAAATAATATATTATATAGAATGAAGTCCAACGAGAAGTTGGTTGATTTGTTTTATAAATTAATTTTTGTGTAGATTTATTTCCAAAAATTTGTTATTCGGTTTTGTTCAAATATTTGAGATTGTAGGAATTATATATAAATAATTTAAAAAACACAGCAATACTTGGTCCTTTTACCTCAAGTTTACGTCCATGTATCTAACATTAGTCATCCAGATATTACTGCCATTCATCCAAGTTTTAACCAGAGAGTCCATGGTTAACCAAAGATTTTGCTAACATGCAAAAGTTCGAGAGTTTTATTATATTTTTTTATTTTGTAAAATAAAAATATAAATATAAAAATTCTGGATTGTATGCTTATATGCTATTATATAAAATAATAGGTCTGTTCCATGAGCTACTCGCAGTAACTTCGAGTATCACTGTGTATACACAAGTGCGATCCACCAGCAAATTTTCGAGTAAACGAGAGCATCTGTCGAAATTTGAAAATGTTACACAAACTTTACTCGTACATTTTATTTCAAGTAAAATTTGTGTTGATGTGTGAATTGAATTTAAATTTTTGTATTGTTTATTTGTCCGGCACTGGTGTTCTTACCAGACTTTACACAAAGCCGTTCCATGAAAATACATATGTGTAAAAAGCGAATTTTGGCACTTTATTTGTATTACGCTCTCAGTTTGTACTTTATTTATGTTTTACTCGAGTTTTACTACGAGTAGCTCGTGAAACAGACCTAATAATAAAGATCAAATAACTACTATAACAAAGCAGCTACGAATATGTAAACAGTTACGAATATGTATCCAATATGTAAGCAAATCACAAACGAATAACTGCTTATTTTAAAAATAACATATGGAACAACAACACTGCTTTCTTATTAAGTCCAACCTTTTTGAAACCTTTTGTGAACAATTTTTGAAAGTACATACGAAATTTCAGTTAACTGCTAACGAATGATTTCGTTAATTCTTCATTTTTCGTGTTGTCATTGTTCGTAACAAATACGTTATTTCTTCTATTTATTATTTTACTGTTAAAAGGCATGAAATTCATATTTTACATTTATTAATGTAAAAAAAATATATTCTTACCAATAATTGCAAATAATTGTTATTCATTTCAAAATTTTAATTTTATGTATTATTTCGTGTTTTGCATACATAAGCCTAACAAAATCTCCAAATCTTCTTTTGTTTGTTTTTTTGCGACATACTTATAAAAAAAATGCCTTATATAAACGTTTAACATTTGGAAAGCAACTTTAGCAAAGTTTGATAGCTAAGGCCGTGTGCGATTTCAAGTAAATTGAGGTAAAGTAAATTGAAATTTTCTAGGAAGTTTTTGCATTGCATATATGTAAATATTTATTTAATTATTTATTGCAGTTATTTATTATTTTTGGTTAAAAGTTTTCATATATATTTATTTGTTTATTAAATATATATATATAAAAATACATATTATAAAATCGGTTAATCGATGTTTAAAGAAAGAAGTGGAAATTTTTACATTTGTCATGCATATTTATTCATACGAATAGTCCGCTTGAATACAACACGGTGCGATATATTATTTTATTAAAAAGTACTTAATGAAACACTCTTGTAGCACACGTAGTTAACCCTGGTACCTTCATTTCAGAAATCGTCCGCTTGCCGACGTATTTCGTTAATGTCGCTCGTATGCCAGACGGGTACTGCGTCTAAATAAGTAAAGATTTGTGAAGTTTGTGTAATTAAAAAATTATATATCTAGCATTTGAAAGAATATTTTGTTACTTATATTTTGTATTCGTTATCATTCGTGGCAATATAACAAATTAAGTAATATTTCTTTATTTTTTTATACGATTAATACCGATTATATATTAAAATTTTCTCTTAAGGAAAAGATAACTGAAGTCAAAAAAGTAGTATTTCTTGTATTTTGTTATAAAATATAATAAAAAAAAAAGAAAATACGTAAAAAGTTCGATTTGCCGAAAACGACTAAAAATTTTGAGTTGCAAAAGTCAAGCAAGCGAAGAAAATTTAACAACGCTGGCATCTGTAAACGACAACAACAACATATCCTCAGTTTTAATTGCAACAAAAAGAAGTGGCAAAAGTTATATTTTGGATAGTCAATAGACAACGTAAAAGAAAGGTAAATATCAAATTTTCTGTATGTGTGTAAATATGTATCATATATTGAAAGTAATGAGGGTTTAATAAAGTGAAATCAATTTTGAATGCAAAATTATAAAAATTATAAAAATTTGCATCAAATTTTGCAGTAATGCTAAAATATTTCTCTTGCAATTGAGCAAAATACGTGCCACGCATCTGTGATAAATTAATGAATTCCAACATTTTAATTTTAATGTGAATGGCGAATATTTAAGCAATTAAATAGAATTATGTATTATATTTGGATGCGTGTTTACCCATACATAGACACGTAAGGTCAGTAGTACAGTACAGCCCGCAATTTATGTGCGTTGTACAAACACTTAAGCGGGATTAAAGAAATGTTTTTCATTTCCTTTAAACTAATAAATTAGTTGTTTTTTTAATTTAATTTATTATAAATATAAAATACAATCACAATTATTTTATCTAGTTGTTGTTTTATTTTAAAAAGGCGATTCATAAAAATATTTTTCTTATTGATTTTAATATATGCAGTAGAGTAGGACACATTTTTTAAGATTCACATCGATGTCCACACTTTAATATTGATTAGATAGATTATTACTGACACTTTTGTTTTTTAATTACCGGTTTTTGAAACTTTCTGCAGACTATGTTTTTTTTTTAATGAATTATCTCTTTGGTTATCTATAAAGAATATTTTTTATTTTTGTCTAGTGATTTTTTTCTTTAAAATTTTATTTATTTTTTTTATTAAATTAAAAATTAAAATCTCATTAACAAGGAAGTTTCCTTCAAATCGAATAGAATTTTACTTAAAAGTAATATTTATCGAAATTTGGATAAATATATATTTGATCAAGTGCATCAAAAATTATCAGATGACTTATCTGACTGAACCGTTTTAGATATACTGTTTTTGCGATCGGAACTACAACATAAATGCAGTAATCAAATTTGACTGATGCCATACAAATCCTCCTCTTAATGAGAAATTTGATATGATTCTATGCCTTGATAATGAGATAGTGGCTAGTGGGTTATAACACGTTTGTTACCTATCTGTAAAGAGAGAAGTCTTCGGAAATTCAATAATAAATTTATATCATATACAAATTAGCGTCATTTCTAGTATTTTATAGAGAGGTGCAGATGTCTTGGAATAGAAAACAAAAAATGAATTTATTTCGTGTAGTCATTTTCAAGAAAACTTGTCTTTTTGGTATATATAGATTATTATGAGGTTTGCTAATCGAATCAGGTGCTTGCATTAACAAGGTAATGACCTCTCGTTTGAACACCAACTGCACGATGTATTTTATGTATACACAATTGTCATTTTTATTTACTTATAAATAACACAGCAGACAATAATACATAAATAAATAAACATTTTATTGGGTCTTATTTGTAAATACGGTATCTTTTTTAAAGTTCAATCAGCTTGTTACATGGAAGCAGCTTAATATGTATATAAAAATAAATATATATAATTAATAGAACATCTTTATTTTTAAATTTATTTAAATTCGTTACCTAAGTTAATAAGAAGCAGCTAAGCGATATTCAAATTTTACTATTCAAGTGTAAGTAATTTTTAAATATTTATTTATTCTACTGAATATATATATATATTATTTATATCTGGTAAAAAAAAGTTTTGTTCTCCAGAAATTATGTTTTTGTTTAGGATTAGAAGTTGATGAGATAAAGAAAGCAGAATGCAAGTTTACAAATCATCTAGTTATATTCATTTTATTTATTTTATATATATACATTATACATTATGCAGTGATGTGTAAGTATTATAAATAAAAAAATAATTATGTTCATATTTTTACATAATTTAAATACACATATATTAAAAAATTTTATTTATATCAATATTTTTAAACAAACTTCTTTTATTACATGTTTTTCAGAGTTTTCAATACTGTTAACAACTTATAATTTGCTGTATTTCGTCAACTTTTATCATGTATGACCATCACGAAGAAGATAAAACTCCAATACGTGCAGTTTTTAGTTTTGCTGATGACGATGAAGAAATACGTCCACCGAAAACCAACTTTATGCTATCAGCCAACGCTCAGGAGTTTGTGCCAACTCACAACACTAATAGTATTCAAGATCGTTTATTGCAGAATCAAATGGGTGGCAATTACTATCATCACAATAATGCACATAATACCCAATATCAATCACGTCATCGTCACAATGGTTACCACCAACCAAATAACTATCAGAATAATTATCAACGGCACTCAAGGCATCATAACATGAATCATACCAGAAATTATCAGTCGCATCATGACCAACATCAGTCACAGATGATGGCTGCTCAAATTTCACAATGCACTTCCTCAGTTCAAAACCGTTTACGCATTGGTGACTCAAAGGATAAAACTAATAGTTACAATCAGCAACAAAATTGTCAACCGCCAGCAGCCAGTACCCCAGAAGTAGAAACCATAGCTATTGATTACCTACAAGGCTGTATAACGTGTCTAAATGACAATCCTGGTCAATTTGATACAATAGCTACTCGTTTCCTAACAATTTATGAAGGCTTGGAAAATAATTGCAATGTTATTGCTATAGCAATGGAGATTATTTTCGAAGAGTCCATTAAGAAGCCTAATTTCCGATACATGGGTGCAAAGCTGTATAATTTGTTGCATATGTTAAACCTCAAGAAGGATTCTTTGTTCCATTTGTTACTTGAAGCTAAACTCAACCATCATCAGGATGAAATGATGTCTAAGATGAGAAGCAACCAAGAGCAAATGGTACGCGAAACTGCGTTATTTTTAGCTGAATTATACATGCAGCTGCGCGGCGATGATACTCGCATATTACTTATAGCTGAGAACATAATGCGCACTCTCAAATTATTAATTTCTAAGGAGACTGCAGATAATGTACGTTGCATATGCCTTACATTAAAGTTGGCAGGTTTTGACTTAACAAAAGATTGCCCAGCCGAAATGCAAGAAATAATAAACATTTTAGATGGCATTAATCAGAAAAATCCAGGAAAATATCCATTGGCAGTAAGCGTTATTTCGTTGCAAAAAAATAACTGGGGACGTAAGTGCAGTTCCTCTAATTCTTTTAGTGAATCGGAAAAGATTCCCGAACCTTTACGCACTAGTGATGAGCCGATCTTCTATGGTCCAGATGGCCGCGAACTAACAGCCGAAGAAGCAGAGTTTCTTCAGGGAGGCGCAACAGGGGGTGGCTCAACCGATGATGAGGACCTTACCGAGTTAGAAGTAGATTTCGACCCAGAAATGGATGAAGAGGCTGAGAAAGCATTTAAGGAGTTCCGTCAGCAAAAAAGAAGTTGAATGTGGAACGCTTGCAGCACACAAAATTCAAAAACCATTAACACAACTTAAATTTTCTTTTGTGATTTCTCTTTATATCGATTTATATATATTACTAACCTGTTCAATTTTTAATTTATTTGTAAATTTTGATTTTTAATTATTTTGGCAAAGCTGTAGGCAAATTGAAAATGTGATATTTTGCAAAACGTGCTGCGAATTCAATAAATGTTTCTTTTCTTTTATTATTAATTGAATAATTAAAATAGAACAAGCAAACATAAAGACATACTTAAAGACTTCGAAAACTAATGCTCTTCAATTTCAAAAAAAAAACTTTTGTACTCTATTTTGTATTTTGAAAAGATTAAAATTGTAAATTGCCAAGCGCAACACTCAAAATGCACGTTACACTGAACCACAAAAGTACCTCAACGCACTTGCACTCAGCTTCGCGTTCCCTTTGAATTTTTGTTGATCTTTATTCACATCTTCAATTAAATAGGTTCTTAGACAACTTAGTTAATTAAATTGTAGACGTTAAGTTAGTCCTTTATTTTTCTAAAACTAAAAACAAAAAAAAACCGAGCGTTAAGATTAATAAAAAAATATCGTTTTAAAAAAAGTTTTAATATATTTGTTAAAAAATACTAAGAGGAAAATTGTTATTCTTAAGAGATTCTCATGTTATTTAAGATTTCATTTAGGTGAGATATGATTTTAATTGATTTTTTTCGATAAGGAACAAATTATATATAACGAATAATATATTTACATACTTTTTTGTATGAATTATTTTTTTTGTTTTATTTCGTCTACTTATTAATCAGAACAATTGTAAGACTTGTGAATGTACCTTTTAAGAAAGAGAAAAGTCAAGTAAACGATTGATTTACAAATAATTAATTAAATACAATATACGAGCATTTCTCATTTTACGAACTTTTCAAACGTATCTTAGACTATAGTACATAGAAATTGTGCAAATATGTTGATAAGTTTGTAAAGTATTTTATTTAATAAAATATTTTCAGCAAATTACTGTTTAAAATTGTTTTAGTCATTTCATACATTATAAGAAAACCCCTAGAACAAGAGAAATGACACGGTAACCTTAGTTAGACGAAGTTCATATCAAAGCTATTTATGTTGTCTATTAGAAAAACACTACTATTAAGGAAGCTTTGAACTTCATCCGCTTGTATTATCTAAAAACAAAAGTGATAAACAATTAACTTATATACAGAGAGCAAAATATTAAGCAAAATATTATCGTCATGTTCACTAAAACTATTGTACCAACAATTTAATACTGCTTTATAGTTTGTGGTTACTAATCTATCTGAACTAATTATTTCTATGAAATATATCAAGTTTCTGGTATTTATTTGTTTGGATACAACGAATTTAAAATAATTAAAAAATATTGTGTTCATAACATCACATTCTATTAATATATATTTAAGATATCAGTTGGGATACAGAATGGGTTATATATTTTACTAAACAAACTTTGATTGTAAGAAAGGCAAACAGAATTCCTAAATCATTCCTATAAATCATGATACAGAGAATAATGTAGATTAGTAATAATCTATAAAGGCTTTTAAATCCAATGTAATATTTTGAAATTATTTTCTTGACTTTTTATATTTTCGGTATTTTTATTGACTAGTTTACGTGTCTATAGTGTAGATACTTGACTATTTCTTTCTTAAAGCATTAGACTGATCATCAGTATAAGTAAATATTATTAAGATTTTGATTATTTATTGATTTTGATTTTATTGTGGTTCTTTTTTGGAGAATTTTTTATATTCGAATATCACATTCCAATTTTGCCTGTGAACAAAAATGTATATGTGTTGTTAAAAAAGTAAAAGGGTATGCTTTTAAACCCGGAAGGTTTTTACTCCGTGTAGACACAGATTAAGCTATTTCGGAATAATCCCGGAAGAGAGTTCTTGCTTATAAACGGGTAATTGGAAAGTCCATTTGTTAAGTTTAACATAAGAGAAAGTACACATCAAGTGGAGGCAATTTACATTAAGATAATTGCAAAATAGTAAAGAAATATTTTCATTTGAAATATTTTAACAAAAATTATGAACCTAATTCTGTATTTTGACTGCTTCGAAAGAATTTGTGCTTTCATTTCGGCAGTTTATAAATATTTATAAAATATTTTGGTTTTTTCCAGCAATTTTCTCACTTTGTACTAATTTCTTCATCTTTTAAAGAGTTGTAAATGCGTTTAGAGTTCAAAAAGTTTCAGTTAAAAAAAAATAAAATAAAAAATATTCAAAAATTTAGTTAATTTTTAATATTTATATCAACCTCAATATATATTTCGTATAACATTCTCAAATTAAGGTTTTTCAAGTTCTTATAATTTTGACATGTGGCAACGACAAATATCTTGAGCAACCACCTTGCGAAAGCAACAGCAAATCCAAACAAACGTCAATAGTGTTGCCAGCACTTAAACGCAGTCATACAATTTGCTGAATAGTCTACAAATTTTGTTGAATTCTTGTTGCTGTATATCTTATGGATACATTTCGTTTTCCAATTAGTTCAGTTCGAGTTATTTCTTCGTGCGGTGCGTTTGTATAGTTCAATATCACGGTGCTTCGACGGTAATTATAATAACAAATTTCTTTTTTCGAGGCTAAGAGAAAAGAGACAAAAAATTTGTTACGAAAAATACACCGAAAATATTAAAATAAATAAAATAAAATTTTTAAACGAATACAATTTAAAAACAAAGTGTGTTATTAAAATAAAAGCAAACGTAAAAGGTATGAATTGTTTTAAAGTATATATGTATATGTCTTTATTTAAAAACAAATGAGTGAGTTGCTAGAAAAATTTTGTAGTTATATTTTGCAATTAAAACAATTTTTGGATTTACGTAAAGTTCTCGCTATTCTCACCCTTTTGTGCAACATAATATGCAATACAAATAAATTTTTTGTGTTAAAAATATTTTAAAGTCTGTGATAATAGAAGTGCACAAAAATATAAAATAAAATTTTGAAAAAATTTGATGAAACAAAGCTGTTAATTAATTACTATAATGTTAAAATTTTTGGGCTGTGGTCGGTCAGACACTCAACCAACTTGAAGCGGGCTAAGTTGAACGCTTTTCTTAAACTACGAAAAAGCAAACGCAGTAAGAAACAAGCAACAAAAACGAAAACAACAATACAGTGCTGTTAAAATGACTTCATAGTTACATATACAATTGCATGTATTTGATTTATAAACACGCTCTCACACATACGCTATTGGCATTGCTACCAAAGCTGCTAAAATATATTTTTGTGTTTGTGCATTAGACATGATTTTTATGTTATATTCTGGTTTTATATCGTACAGAAGGTATAAAGTCTCTTAGCCCTAACATTGTGTTGGCTATACAAACATTTTGTTGTTTTTGTTGATGTTGTCATTCTAAGCGTGTTGCTATTAACAACAACAAAAAAATACACTGTGTTATAAAAAACGAAGGCATATGATTTCTTTTTTTTGATGTTACGCTCGTAGTTATAGATGTTTCTTTTTTTGATACGTTTCATTTTTAAATTTTTTTCTATACATATTTTAAAAAAAGCTCCTTTAACATGATAAGTTCCATAAAAATTATAATGTCAATTTTTTTACTCTCTTTTATTTCTTCTTTGTGGCTTTTAAATTATTTTCGAAATTTTGCCGCCAACTATTATATCTTTTTATTTCGTTTTTAAATAATTTTAATATAAAAAGCTCAAAAATACGTATTTTAACTTTTAAAAAATATAGTATAAATAAAGATTTTCTGGTGATCTAATTGGATTTCTTGCAGTATTCATTCTAATTAGGAATATAATTTTCATTTAAATTTATTAACAACAATATATTAGTTATAATGTGATATTAATATTGAGCGAAATTTAACGCTTAGTTTTGTTACTACTATTTTAGAGTAGTACAAAAAATGTTGGTGAGATATTACTGTACTGAAAATATACTAAATGTTATATATTAACATTCTGTATACATATGTATGTTCCTTATATTTTTAGGCGTTAATTTAAAATTTTTTTATAGCTTTTAAAGAAATTCTTAAAATCGCCATTTTTGGAATAGCAGTAAGAAATTAGAATACGTGAAAGGTTTAATCACCCATTTCATTCGTAATATTTACGTCATAAAGATTTATTCACTTATTTTTAATTAAAAAATATTAGAATAATGTATGCATATTAGTTCCATAGCTTTAACGGTAAATATGCCGGTTTTAAACTGATTATAAAACTGTGGTCGTATATTCAAAATAAGTAAAATAATTTATTATATATAATTGTAAATGCAACTCCGCTTAAAGCGGAGTTCCAATAAATTCTCAGAGCAAAAGTTCGGAGTGTAAGCCAAAGTTTTTAATCGAACAAGAACGACGAATCAACTCATTGATGTTTGTCTGGGTTAAGCGTTTTGAGAGTTGCTTTCAATTTTGTTGCTACTCATTGCGCTTGACGGTTGTTTGCCTGGCTATCGAAATTCCAAGTGTGTCTTCATCAGTTTGAGCGCATCGAGTTGAGCAATTTAAAGCAAACTTAACAGATTTTAATTGAGTTCTCCATTGAGCTAATGGTTGAGTTTCTATTGATTTCGCGTTTGTGGTTTGGATGTATTTTGGCTTTGAAGACTCTGCGTAGAATTTTGGTAACACTGTGGTAACTCGGGCACACCTTGTAAACATTTCTTATTTATTTTCTTGTGGTCTTTATATTCTTATGTTCTTCTGCAGTTTGAAGTCTCTGCAGGCTTATTAATAACTTTGTTTTTTGTGTTATTCTGTTTGTTGCCACTCCTTCATGTATTTGGCCGCGATTATTTTTCACTTTTTTTTTGTTAACTTATTTGGTAGTAGTTTTGGTAGTTTAGGTAGCTTATTACGTTTTTTTTTCTAGTTTCGAAAAAGTTATAACGTTTTCGTGTCTATGACTAATTATGTGTGAGTGCATAGTGTAATGCCGCTTGCTTCTACCGATTGTTATAGACTTTACCAACGAACTTGTTCACATTTTGGGTTGTTTGCAGCAAAACTGTAATGCATAAATATTGGTTTTTTTTCATTTGTATATTAATATTTTTCTATTTAGGTCAAAGTGTCACGCTGCGTGGAATGACTTCCATGTTTGTTTTTTTAACTTTTTTTATATTTTTTTTATATTTTTTTATATTTTTTTTATACTTTTCAACATTAAACTCTATTTTTGTATGTAAACCTATTCCTGTTTTTTATAGTATCTGTTAAAAAAGTATTAAGAAGAATGGTTGTTGCACATTTTTCATTTTGAAATCTGACCGCGTTAATTAAATGAGGAGAAAAAGAAAAAAAATTGCCTTAACGGCAGCGGTCGTTGCTGTTTATCAACACATCCATTTAGACGCACTGGAACGCGGCATATTGTGGCCTGTCCAGCATGTTTATTTGGAAATTTTTGGCTTTGCTAATAGCTAAGTGGTTTTTATATGGCAAAATATTTGCACCTCTACCATACATTGAAATCATAATTTATATATGCATTAATACCAAATGTAAAAAAAGAATATTATAATAGAAAATTCTAGACCTCATTTTTTAATTACCACATATACGAATAAGTTATAAAGTTATTTTATTGTTCAACTGTAAATTATTCAAACATTTAGTTGTACAATGCTTAATGCATATTGCTTAATAAAGATGTTTGTTCACAAAAATATTTTAGACACATCTAATATCAAAATAATAACAATATATTTCATCTTCAATTAGAGTTTGTTTCAGTTTTAGTGTTTTTTGTACAAATCGGAACAGTTGATCATAATATAGTATCTCCATTTAACAAAGTAATTTTTTATATTGAAATTATAGCTGGATTGAAAACTTAATTATTGAAAAGTACCATTTTAACTTGAAATTAGAACGAATTTTCTGTAAAATGCTTTTGTAAATTATTTGTAAATTAATTTCACTTAACTCTCAGGATACGGATACGTCCGTGCTGTAGTTGAACAAACCCAACCCACAGAAATGATTGAAGAGGCCATTCGCAAACATTAAATTGTGCAGTTGGTAGTTTTGTAATTTTGTAATTTTATGTAAGAATATTTCATTAAAATCGCTTGTTACTATTTGCAAAGTAGTAGCAGTTTTATACAATATACCAGCCAAGCACAGCCAAGTACACGCCCTTATCATTTCACTTTACTAATAAAGGTAAATGTTTGAGCAGAAAAGTCTTCTAAGCCGAAAAGTAAATTTAACATAACAATTGCTACTCATTCATTTTTACAATTTGTATTTTTGTCTTTCTAATTCAAAAAAGTGTTGACATTGGTAACATAAAATACGTACCAAGTTTAATCTTTCCACTTATTTTTATCTTATCAGCACACAATTAAACTGGCAATGACTCAATTTTCTAATAATTGCCATAGTACTATACATAACACAAAAAAAAAATTAAAAAAAGAGTTTTATTTATAATAAAATAATTATTATATATGATTTCTCTTTTTCGCAAGCTAATGCTTGCTCTAAGTAGATACAGAATATTTGCATACCTCTTAGATACATTTTACGAGTATCTTTCAGTTTGCAGTGCAACTTGTCAATGTTTGATTTGTTTCGTTTTTATTTTTTTGTTAATAAATATTTTACTATTGAAATTATTATTGTAAGTTTATACTTTTATGTTTTCATTTTCCAATGAAATTCCTAAGCTGACATCACATAATAGATTTTTGTATACAAAATATTATCAGCTTATCTTATCTTGACAATAAATATATTTCGCATAATTTCCAAACATTTTGCTAAATTATTTTCTACTGCGAAACAAAAACAAGAGCTTATTTATTTAGAAATTTAATCGTAACTGTCTTTCGAAGCATATGTCCCAACAGTGCTATGTAGAGCGGTAAAGAATTTATGGACAACTTATTTCGATTTAACTTGCATTCTATCATAAAACATTTTACATATGAGATATTCTAATATAATTGCTTGTAAAGTATCTTGACATACGAGTATTTTGCGTCAGTTACGAAATCATTGATCGCCTTTAATATGTTCTAGACTTTGTAAATGGAATGTAGAAATTCAATATACTGTCAATATGAACTTCCGTTCTGACAGGAAATTAAAAACTTTCCAGAAGATACTTAAACTTGTCAAGATGCCCGTATAAAGATAGCATGTCTCGGGTCGGAAAATGAATAAATAAAACATTGAAGCAAGAAAATAGCAAAAATTCGTAAATCAATTTTATTTAATAAAATTAAAACTGTCAATTACAAATAGAAAATAAAAAAACTACAGAACAATAATCAAATAGGCAATTAAAAATTAAAGTTTAAAGATTATATTGGTTGCTAATTTCAAAATCTGAACTTAGTCTAGAAAATAATTTAATTATTTACAAAACCATCAAATTCAAATCCCTTTCAAATTAAAAAAGAAAAAACCTATCCTTTTCATTAGACGTTCCAACAGCCCATTATTTGTCTTTAAGTTTGTCAGATATTGTCGATTCATTTCAAAGTTTTAAAGTTTTTCCATTACTCTGTCTTTACTCACTCTGATAATTCAAAGCCGTTATTGTTGTTGTAACTCATGTTGGGGCTTCCACTAGTTGTGGCGGACTTACCATGTTGAAATCATATGTTCGTGGTGCCTTATGGTTATCGGGTGTTATAGGTGGGAGAACGAGAATGAATAGTGAAATTTGGTATAAGGTGGAATAAGGTAAGGAGTATGGGCGGGAAC